TTTTTTTTTTTTTTTTGTTGTGGGGGGGGGGGGGGGAGAGAGAAAGGGGACTTGAACCCTTGATCTCAAGAAGTCTACGCCTTCACAAGACAAAAGAAGTACCATTGGATCAAAGGCCCGTAAATGCATGACATTATCTATTGCACAAGGGAAATCAAAAAGTAAGTCCTATTAAATTTTCCCAATACAGCTACGTATTAGATTTTGACTTTCTTACTTGATGTCATTTTTATGATCACTAAGCTACTAAAGTTATTCACATTGTTGTATTGTGTCATAGGACGTTACGGTATTTACATAATTTAAGTAAATGCTAGAAATGAGTCACTGTTGTGACCTAGGGTATTATGGGTCATCTATTTTGTGGGTTATTTTAGTAAACTTTAGTTGGTTTCATATATTCTATGATTCTTACAATTCTAAATTTTGCATCATTTGATTCTTTTTCAAGGTTTTTACATTTTTTCCTTGCATGCGGGGGAGGGGGAGAGGTTTAATGGCATATATACATGATTGAAGCTAAGTCAATATGGGCGCAAACCAAATCCCCAAGTTCAGGCCCTCAACACCTTCCCACCCCTGCCCATATGCAATATGTTGAGCACAGGATCAAGATGGATCATAACATTCACTTGAGAAATATTTTTGGGGTTCCTTCAGATCTTAAATTTAGCTCGACATAATCCGTAATTCTATGATTAGCAACATGCAGCAGTTTCGTAGATGAATTTGGATGTTACACAAGCTCCTGAGGATATAATTTGTAATTATACTATTATAGCATTGTAGCAGTAGCTCAGTGAATATAGGTGGTTTATGCAACCAGCCACAACAGCTAAATAATCATCCTTATTCATAATTGTCACTAACTTCCAAAATAAAGGAGCCATTCTCTCAGTTTGAAAAAAAACAAAGGTTCGACTAGGCCAGAAAAATACTCCACCCATACGCGATTCGTTTATTAATTCATGCTTCACAAATTGTGTTATATCAAATTTGTGTCATGAATCGTTTATAATCAATATATAAACAAATTGTTTCATGTATTTCTTTTGGTTAATTTCAACCATACCCGATTCATTTATTAACCGTATTGATTCGTTTATTAACCGTATTGTGTCAGATCCACTCATTTACAAAGGAAGTGGCTTAATAAAGACTTAAACCCTTTCCTTAATTCTTTACAACTTAATTTTTTAGATAAAATAATTGGCAAGAAAACTAAGTTCAACAACAGAATCCCAGGGATGTCAAGTTAGAGATCATGTAGTCGAGTATGAATACAGATGATTTGTGCAACACTCCAAACTCAATCTACCCTTTGATCCAGCCTGGATGGGCAGAACCACGCAGGGTAGCCGCTGTCTTCATGAAACGATGAACTTTCATTACTAATCAGAGAATTTGGGCCCCTAGAACAACCCATTTGTTTACATAACTATATGCAATATTTTATTGTTTAGCACTAAAACTAAAATTAGCAACGCCACGCAGTGAGAAACAACAGTGAACACAACCAATTGTTCCCCAGCCTCAAAAAATTGACAATTAATTTAGTTTTTTAACGACAGTGAGAAACAACAACAGTGATCAACGCCTTGAGAACAAGCTCAAAAAAAATCAATTTCAAGGAGTATTTCACATTTGCCCAGATTTTTTTCTAAAATCCAAAATAAAGGCAACATCTGCCAACACGAATGAATCACAAATGGTGCACAAGGGAACTTTTGACCCAAGAAAACTAATTAAACATTTTCCACTTTAACACACACAAACGCACGCACCACTAGCAAAACCTGTTCGAGTTCATCATCATTTTGTTGTTGACTTTGTTCATGCTGCTCATGTCCATCAGCTTCATTAACTTCGGTTTCGCTGGCGGTTTCGAAGCCGTCGGAGGCGTATCCGGACGGCCCCGTCGTGGTATCGTCGTTCGAGTCTACAGCTGATTTTGGCTTCGGATTGAAACAATTTGAATCTTTCTTCTCTTCTTCAGTCGGAGTTGGAGTTGGAGTTGGCACCGGCTCTGGTTCAATCACCACCATTCTCTCTCTCTCTCTCTCAGGTTAATCGTACAGTTCGAGACAACTTAGACTCGCCTGTATCATTTTGTTCATTCTATGTTTTTCGGGTCAAAAGACTAGTCCGTGTTTTGGGCCGTCCGGTCCATGTGGCCCAGACCCTAGGCCAGAGGTTTCGCCCCTGCCCAAATAGCAACCTTTATATCAAACTGTTTTATTTCCTGATAATATTTGTACAGAATTTTTACCGTCATCGGAGACGCTACTTTAACGGAGATTTATAAGAATCTCATCAATCGTTTGGGCAGTCTTTGCTCTTTGATGGATCAGTAAATATTGAATGTGATAGGCCCGGTTCAGCCCAAGCCTAACTTTTAGGCTCAGTTTAAAAATGCAGACCAAACCTAATTTAAATATATAACTCAAGTCCACCACAGGATCAAAGAAGTTTAAGTGGGTCAATTTCGCCATCTTCAGAGACTCAATCCACAATTAACACACGAGGAAAACTCTGTAAGACGCAATCATTAGGTGCACGTGCCACCTCCACGTGATTGCCTTGTTTGTTACGAGAATGACGTCACTTCTACTGAACTGTCTTACTTGTTACGAGAATAACGCCTCAATCTGTTAGAAGATGTCTACAAATTGTAAGCCCACCCCCTTTATGTAGGTATTACTCACATATGAGCATTCTACATTCCTTAAGTAATAAAACATTTAGATCATTCATTCATATTGGAGTAGGTCACCGTGACCAAACTACTTAATTTGTATTTTGCTTGTGTTGATTCTCTTTCTTAATTACTGCATTAAATACTTAACAGGTGGTACATAAATACATTTTGAGCATTATCAATTTAGCGTCGTCTGTGGGAACGACTTAGTTTGTACCATACTGTCTTTCCTCTTTTCCTGACCATTATCACTAGATCCATGAATCAATAAATGGAAGATGATCAACGTCTTGATGAGGTACCGCCCCCGTTGGAAAATCTCGTCATTGGACAATAATTACTGGAAACGATGCAGTTGTTGGTAAACCAAAACCAACAAATCCTCCAATTGATACTCATTGGGCACTCAGGAGTGGCGGCACCTCAACACCCAGGAGAGCCAGCGCCCGAGGCGCCTCACCTACCACCCCAAGTGCCCCAGCACATAGGAGAGCAAGCTCCCTAGGTGCCTCGCCCAAGAGGGGCGATGCCCAAAGCACTAGTAGTGTCTTGCTCAAGAAAGAAAGCTCCCCAGGCACCTCACCCAACTTGCCCAAGAGCCTTACCTCAACGTAATGCCCTATCTCTCCCGCCTCAGGTGCCTATTCCATCCTCCCAGGCTGCTGACCACTCGTTCGAAGAGGACGAGGGGAAAACCCAGTATAATCGTAAAAGCCATAACAACAACCCTCATGAAGGCATCGCCAAATCCTGAGATGAAAAAATATGGAATCGCGGAAACCAGTTGGGTGACATCTTCAACGCCATCAAGGCACGAGGGCTAAAAACTGTCCACTACCTTGCAAGGCATATTGACACACCGTTCATAGCTGATGTGGCCAATTACCCCCTTCCATCAAAGTTCAAAATGTCAACTGTGAAAGTCTTTGATGGCTTAAAAGGTTCACTGGACCACCTTGACACCTATGAATCTCTTATGCAGCTGCATAACATACCAAACAAAATTATATGCAAAGCTTTTCCTACCACCCTTAAGGGATCTACGCGCCAATGGTTCGCCAAGCTCAGACTAATTTGCATTGATTCTTTTGTTGAACTAAGTAAGTCTTTCGTATCCCACTTCATAGAGGGACGTCAATATCAAAAGTCTGTGGCCCAATTGCTCTGCATCAAGAAAGACCATGACAAAAGCCTAACGAGTTATCTCACTCGTTTTAACGAGGAAGTCCTCCAGATTGAAGAACCATATACAAAATTTCCCACATTATTCAACATGTTTTTCAAAAGCCATGCGTTCGTCCAGTCTTATATTTCAGCTTTGAAGCATCTGCCAAAGAACATACAAGAATTACTATCAAAACCTCATAAATACTTGAACATTGAGGATGTCCCCAAAGCTAGGCGAGTTGAGTCCTCACGTGGAGGGGAATATGAAAAGTAAAGAAACCCATTTGCTTGCCTTTTTAATAAAATCCTCCAAAAGCTCCACATTATTCAACAAATCTTCCAAGTGGTTGCCCATTATCCCCCACATTTTTCTTCACTTTGTCAAAAAATATTCCAATAACATAATTGCATTTTATTTCCATAAAGTCTTGAAAATGATAGGTCCTCCATTATTGCTGAATTCTCCACCCAAACCAAGACCACTCCTATGTGCCCTCGCGCGCTTCTACTGGCGCCCTCTGTCCCACCGGCGTAAGCCTCTACATTGACAACCTCACCTCTAGTGCCCACCATGCAAGATTACCCCCACAGAGAAATCAATCTGGTGCCTTCCTTACCTTGAGCACCCTCGCCTCTAACGCTTACCTTGCCTCTTTGCTGCCTTAGTGCCTGCCTCGCCCACCTTGACGCCACTTACACGTGCATCGTGCGTGCCTAGCTTGTCCAACAACACCCTTGGCGCCCAACGTCACCCTTCCTAGTATATATATATATATATATATATATATATATATATATATATAT